CTTACCCTGCCCTGCTGCCGCCGCCCCCTGACAGTAATGAACTTACCCTGCCCTGCTGCTGCCACCCCAATAATAACGGATGTTCCCCAGCCCTTGTGGCAGGCCTCCAGAGCTGCGCGCTGGGGGAAAACAGGGAACTACATTAACTATCAGATTCTATCCAGTTTAGAGTTTAACTAATTCCAAGCAGATCTTACAGTGGCAAGGCTGTACTTAATGGTTCAAGCAGTGTGCATTAGCCTCCTGTTTGTTTGTTTGTTTGTTGTAACCATGGTGTGCACGTTGCCGATACACTCGAAGGTGTGAGGGTTGTTTGTTTGTTAGTTTGTTAGTTTGTTTGTTTGATTATTACTCACCATGGTGTGCACGATGCCGATACACTCGAAGGTGTGAGGGTTGTTTGTTTGTTAGTTTGTTAGTTTGTTTGTTTGATTATTACTCACCATGGTGTGCACGATGCCGATACACTGGAAGGTGTGAGGGTTGTTTGTTTGTTAGTTTGTTAGTTTGTTTGTTTGATTATTACTCACCATGGTGTGCACGATGCCGATACACTGGAAGGTGTGAGGGTTGTTTGTTTCTTTGTTACTCACCATGGTGGCCAATTGGCCAATACACTCGAAGGTGTGAGGGTTGTTTGTTTGTTTGTTTATTACTCACCATAGTGTGCACGTTGCCGATACACTCGAAGGTGAAGTCGAGCCCTCCGTCCGTCAGGTCTGCCAGAACCTGCTGAATCGGCCGCTCGTGGTCCCTCGGGTTCACAAACTCCGTCATCCCAAACTTCTTAGCTGCAAAAGAAGGAGCAGAAAGTGTTATAGTTTCACAAGCTCATTATTTCTCTCCAAATGTTGTCTCTTCAAGATATCTTAATAAGGTACACTCTGTGATGGTTGCTATGGTGATGGTTGCAATGGTGATGGTTGCTATGGTGATTGTTGCTATGGTGATTGTTGCTATGGTTATGGTTGCTATAGTGATGGTTGCTATGGTGTTGGTTGCTATGGTGATGGTTGCTATGGTGATGGTTGCTATGGTGATGGTTGCTATGGTAGCAGGTCCTACCGATTTCCGCCTTGGCCGGGTTGATGTCGACTCCGATGATGCGGGATGCGCCGGCGACCTTTGCCCCCATGATGACGGCCAGCCCCACGGCTCCCAGGCCCCAGACCGCCACGCTAGACCCCGGATCCACCTGTAAACAAACAAACAAACAACTCAAACCCTCACAACTATCAACATCAGCATGGCTCCACCTGTAAACAAACAACACAACACAAGCCCTCAGCCTCACAGATATCAGTATGCTATAGGATAGAGTTGATTCTACTTACTACATAGGAGAAATGATAAGAAAATTGGCTTTGAGAATCCAGTTTTACCACCCTGCAACTGTTTTGGGTGCCTTGCATGCACAAAAGTCTAGTTACCTTCGCTGTGTTGAGAGCAGCCCCGTAGCCGGTGGAGATGCCACAGCCCAGCAGACACACTTTGTCCAGAGGAGCCTTCTCTGCAACCTGAAAATCATCACATCAGACAGAACACGCAGTGTACTGCATTTATGTGTATATTAGCTAATATACAATATATGTATGTAGGGGCATTGTCATTAGATAGCTTTAAACATTTGAGTTAGATGTTCAAGCCAGGGTAAGGTGTATAACAAGTCGGTCGGTGTAATATAGCCAGCTGCCGCCGCGCCGCGTGCCTGCGAAGCTGGTGTGTTACGCCGAAGGGCAGTTATACCGGCTATATACTGAATACAGATACAGATTATATATTATGCCATTATATATACATGTACAACGAATACCGCATGGCAGAATGTAATATTGGCTATATAATATCTATATAATATACAGAATAAATGTTGTGACCTTGCAGAGAGAGATGTCTGCCACCACGGTGTACTCGCTGAAGGTCAGTTATACCGGCTATACTGATACAGATACTGATATACTGTATGTATATAATTATAATCTGTATAATATAGAATAAATGTTGTGACCTTGCAGAGAGAAATGTCTGCCACCACGGTGTACTCGCTGAAGGTCGAGGTGCCCATGAAGTGGTACAGAGTTTGACCTTTGCAGGTGAAGCGGCTCGAGCCGTCCGGCATCACACCTTGACCTTGGGTCACCCTGAACAACAAGGTCACACTTTGCTTGTAAAATCTTACAGGACAGAATTTCAAGTTTCAACCAAAGAAAAAATGCCTCTAGCTACAATCACATGTAGGTTTTGTTCTCATATGATTTTCTGCCACAGGTGGGTTAGTTCTTATCACTAGACAGGCTTTTAGCTAGGATTTTTTTGTTGAGTGTCCATTTTTTTATTGTACATGTATGCTATGGGCAGTGCACGAGCTATGGGGGGGGGAGCGTGTGCATGGCAAGGGTTGGGAGTGGAAAAAATAGGGTATCTTTAGGATGTACTCCCAAGGTACCAAGGTGTCCAATTTCTTATTATTTTCATCTAGACATCCTGGACACCCCCTAGCTAAAAGCATGGTTTTCATTTCTGACAGGTGGGTTGTCCTTACCTGATTTTCTGACACAGGTTGGTTTTGGGGCTCTTGCAGAACTTACACTCGCGGCACTGCGGGATGTAGAGGGGGACCACGTGGTCGCCTGGCTTGAACCCGGTGACCCCTGACCCCACACTCTCCACGACCCCGCCCCCCTCATGACCCAGCACCACGGGAAAGATCCCCTCGGGGTCATGCCCATCCAGGGTGTACGCATCCGTGTGGCACACTCCTGTTGCCAAAACCTACATACAAACAACAAAATATCATAAATATTATACATTAACATTCTTCCCTAACCCCACTAGCTAAGCACAAACCCTTCCAGGGTGTAAGCATCCGTGTGGCACACTCCTGTAGCCAAAACCTGTACAGAAAAACACAGAAATACATGTAGGCATTGTAGGGCAACATTCACTAACCCCTAAACCTTCCCCCCAGCATGTAAGCATGACCCAGCACTAATGGGAACTTCCCCTCGGGGTCATGCCCATCCAGGGTGTAGGCATCAGTATGGCACACTCCTGTTGCCAGTACCTGTACATACAAACAACAAAATATCATAAATATTATACATCAACATTCGTCCCTAACCCCACTAGCTAAGCACAAACCCTTCCAGGGCCTGGACGGGTTTGTGCTTAGCTATTGGGGACTCCAGGGTGTAGGCATCCGTGTGGCACACTCCTGTTGCCAGTACCTGTACATACAAACACAGAAATACATGTAGGACAGCATTCACTAACCCAGCCCAACTCCTACATGTGTACATGTAAACCTTCCCCCCAGCATGTAAGCATGGCGCAGCACTAATGGGAGCTTTCCCTCTGGGTTAAACCCAACCAGGGTGTATAGGCATCCGTGTGGCACACTCCTGTTGCCAGCACCTGTTAGACACAAACATGTATAACAGCACAGCATTTTTCACTAACCCAACCCTCCCCTCCCCCCAGCAGGCTATCTACAGTTCAGATAACAGTAACCTTGAAAGTTTGATCTGACCTTGATGCGGACTTCGTGTTCTTTTGGAGGAGCGACTTCGATCGTCTCAATCACCAGCGGCTTCTTCGCTTCCCAGGCCACCGCCGCGCGGCACGTGATGGGCTATAAATAAACAAACAACAACAAATAATAAACAACATGAACCCCAACCCTCCCAGGCCACCGCCGTGCGGCACATGATGGGCTGGAAAAAAACAAATAAACAACAATAAACAATAAATAAACAACCCAAACAGCAACCCTCCCAAGGATGGCCCAAACACAAGATGGGCTGTAAACTGTACTAAACATGACAAGTTGTAAAAAGGGTTTGACTTGAATTTTACTTTTAATCTAAAGTTTATGTCATGCAAATTCACTTACCACATGTAATGGGTAACGTTATAGCAAGTTAGTCACGATTTCAGTTTTTTCAACTAAAATTTCCCGTGTCTGTTGTCTCACAGTGAAAACATGTCATTTCTCATTTTCTGTACTGCCAGTCATCCGTACAAAGTTGCTGACATATCACATGGGGGGAGGGGCACATACATCATGTAGCGTCGCACATTCACACAGCCGTGCAGTCTTTTAACTCTGGCGACCCAGCCAGGCCTACCCCCTCTAGCCCCCTAGCTCTACCCCCTAGAATACCCCCCTGTGCGAGGTTATACCCCCCTAAAACCCGCCTACCTTTCCTGCAGTATCCGCCATGCCTCCACGTTTATGGGGCAAAGGTCGACAACTTTCACGGGCCGTGTGCAAAAAACGCAAATATTACTTTAGCCTAGAATTCAGACTTCGCAGCGGGCACGTTATTAATCCTTGCAGCGGCTGCATATTATCACACTCTAACTTACCAACAGACATCAATCTAATGTTTTACACATTGAGGTTTAAACAAGCGTGTTGACATTAACTAAGTCTTGGCCCTACCTTTCTCGAGGGCCTGCATGGGGGAAATTTTCGACGCCGATTACGAATTACGTTTATTGATAAAGTCTCAGAGCTGATTTATAGGACTTTGTACCGATTACGAATTACGTTGATTTTTGAGGAGGCTGCCGACAGATTACGGAGACTATTATAAAAAGAATTTATGCCTTACGAAAAACGGCATGCAGGCCCTCTTTCTCACCCGTGGTCTGACCGGAAGCGGAAGTGACGTCGCGCGCCCTGAGTCAGACCAAGGCCGTTGCGAGCCGGCAGGTGAAATTATTTCCCGCTAGATTTCCACTTTCCCTGCTAGAATTCCACTTTCCCTTTCGTGTTTGATCGGATTTGCCGCTGTGTAAGGACTGTGTGGAGTGCGGAGCGGCTGTGGGGACGGGGATGTGCGAGAATCTGGGCGAGATCGCGGCGCCGGCGGCTACCGGCTTCGGGCTGGCACAGTGCTTCCGGCGGGACCGGCGGTACAACGGCCCGGACCAACACCCCGACAGACCCGGCAAGGATCGTCCCAGCAAGGCACCTACACTACAGCGGGTCCCGGAGTGGGGCAAGGCGCTGTTAGCTGGAGGTACGGGGTACAGGGGGGTACTGGGGAGGGGGGACCAGCCTGGCGGGACCGGCGCTACGGCCCGGACCAACACCCGGACAGACCCGGCAAGGATCGTCCTAGCAAGGCACCTACACTACAGCGGGTCCCGGAGTGGGGCAAGG